GGTTTTTTACTTTTATGAACATTTAATGTATCTCCCGATTTTAGGGAAATTTCGGGGTTTTCCACCGAGTCATATCAAATCCGTATTTTTCCAAAAAGTCTGAGAAAATACAAGGGCAGAGCATTTAATTCGGTGTTGCTCAGTCTCATGAACAGGAATTTATTGTTACTGTTGTTGTTTAAGGCTTACGACATGTATGCATTTATGTCGACGGTATGTTGTTAATTTTAACATACAATATTTATGACGCATCAGTCTTTTTGCCATGGTAATGCATATCTTTTGCGTTCGCTGAGGGATTATTACAAAAGTTGGCAAGATAAGACTACTTCGATAAGGTAGATAAGTCGAAACCGTATTGATGTCTTTGTTCTAAGAATCGTACAATCAGTTTGACGGGAAACTTCCACACACCCTCGTTGTGTGTGCAACAGACGATTCTTAGGAGCCGGAAGCTAAAACAGAAAGTTTTTGAGGAAATGCTTCCGAGGCCTGTATGGGTAGAACGATTGATTGCCAAAACACCTTAAGTGTGTGCTACACGAACGCTCGTAGTCTTAGAAATAAAACGTTCGAGCTAAGTCTGATGGTGGAAGAATTATGTCCCGATATAATCGTTGTTACAGAAACTTGGTTCACAGTAGATATAGACTGTTCTGCTATATCTGTATTAGAAGTGATAGAGTTTCAAGTCGCAAAGGGGGAGGTATAATATTATACGTTAGGGATCACTTTCGTATACAATCAACCATATCGGAGGCTCATATCAGTGGCACATGTGAGGTTGCATGTTGTAAGATTAAATCTAGAAGTGGGTTAGTGACTATAGGGGGAATATACCGTAGTCCGTTTTGTCTTGCTGACGACTTTATCCTAAGACACATCTGTTCTTGGAGTATGGCAGAATGTTGTCTCATCATTGGGGACTTCAACGCATGGCATATCAACTGGATAGAGCTTACAGCTCTAGGTAGTGGTTTCGATAGCGACCTTTTATCTACCGTTATTCAGTGTGCGCTTGTACAATGTATCACAAAACCGACACATTGATTTCAATCATGATCCGTCACTGCTGGACCTCGCCCTCACCCACCACTGTGAGGATGTTTTTGATATTCAGCACCTTCCCCCACTAGTGAACAGTGATCACGTTGTAATTCACTTTAAGTTTAGGACACATGGTATACAATTCGTATCTGCTCCACCCCGTCCCAATATTTGGCGGGCCAATATTCCGGCGATCAGAAACTGTGCTATCTCGACTGATTGGTCGGTCGAAGCGAATGGATTGATCGAAGATGAATGGAATAAGTTTAAGGCTACATTCGAGTCCGTATCGTCGCCGTTTATCCCATGGTCAGCACGTAAGCTATCACATTGCCCTCCATGGATTAATAAGGAAACCCGGAAGCTGTTAAAGCGTAGGAAACATTTCTGGGACTTATTCTTGTTGACAGGTGATTAACCATTTAAGCGTGAGTACCGAAAATTCCGTAATATCTATAAGAAAACCATTGCTAAATCCCGTACCACTTATGAACGACAGTTAGTATATGACAGCCGTACTTGTCCGAAACGATTGTTTTCGTATGTTAAACGGCGGACGAAACGTAGTGACGGTATTCCCCCGTTACTGTTACACGAAAATTCAGAATTACTAGCTGAATCAGATCAAGCAAAAGCTGAGACTTTTTCAAACTATTTTAGCGAAGTCTTCTCCACGTTTATTGTAACAAATACTTGTCCCACTCACACCGAGATACCAACCATGGAATCTGTACAGGTGACTGACTGACTGAGGAAACTGTCCTTCCGTTGATAACTAACCTCAAACCTGGTAAGACACCGGGCCCTAACGGGGTACATCCACGGTTGCTGTCATCTCTTGCGGACATTATTTCCAAACCGCTTGCGAAACTCTTCAACATGTCCCTTTCACTCGCTCAACTCCCTAGAGATTGGAAGGACGCTATAGTCAGTCCTATATTCAAGGACGGTCAGAGACATATAGTATCTAACTACCGGCCTGTTAGTCTAACTAGTATAGTCGTTAAGTTACTTGAAAAGATAATTCGGGTTAGGTTGCTAAGCCACATAGATTTACACAATCTGTTAGCTCCTGAGCAACACGGATTTCGTAACAAGCGTTCATGCTTGACTAACTTGCTTATTGCGAGGGAGGATTGGACAGCAGCCCTAGATAACGGTCTGTCTGTCGACGTGATATTCATAGATTTTAGCAAAGCGTTTGACAAGGTTTCACACGTAGGTCTTATGCAGAAGCTCACGAGCTTCGGAATAATAGATACTGTACATGCGTGGATAGGAAATTTCTTATGTGACCGCAGACAGAGAGTGAGAGTTAACGGAACGCTATCCGATTGGAAGCCGGTCAAAAGTGGTGTACCCCAAGGCAACATCTTAGGCCCTCTGTTCTTCCTTCTCTACGTTAATGAGTTACTGCTGTTACTTAGGTCGTCGACATTATTGTTTGCGGATGATGTGAAAATCTGGAGAACAATAAAAAGTGCGGCTGATCATGTGGATCTTCAAGCTGACTTAGGCGATTTAGTTAGATGGGCTCGAGAGTGGGGCTTAGAAATCAATGCTAGGAAGAGTATACTAGTGCACATCGGTCACGGTAATAGTTACCGTTATACTATTGAGGGTAAACCTCTTCCATGCGTTCAAGAGCATAAAGACTTAGAAGTAATAATAAGTCATGACTTAAAAACAACTGCGCATTGCAAAGCAGCCGCTGTCAAAGGTTTTCGTGCGTTATGGTCACTTCGCCGAGCGTTCAAATCTTTTGACGAGGAAACGTTTCGAATTTTATATCACACCTATGTAAGACCACACTTAGAGTACTGTATCCAAGCAGCTAGCCCATGTCTGGTAAAGGATACTAACTCTCTTGAGCGTGTCCAGCGTGTGGGAACGAAATTAGTGAAGGGTCTTTCTAGACTACTTTACGATGAGCGTTTAAAACGCCTAAATCTTTTCCCTTTGTCGTATCGTAGGACACGAGGTGACCTTATACTGGCATTTCGTATCTTTAATTATGATTTGGGTGTTAATATGTCTTATCTTTTTGCTCCCTCCAGCACTAATAATCTCCGCGGTCATAGCAAGAAGGTTCATAAACCAAGATCTAACAAACTTAAAGTGGGGTTCCGTTTTTCTCATCGAGTATTCAATCATTGGAACGCCTTACCCTAACAAGTGGTATCAGCCCCATCAGTGAATACTTTCAAGGAGAAGCTGGACCTTCACTGGAAAGCAGTGCGTCAGGATTAATACAGGTTCATCAACCTACTATCCTTATAACTGAAGACTGAAGACCCTTAAATTTCTCCTGGTCTGTGATTTTCCCCAATATTTTCCCAGACTTCGAGGAAAACTACGAATTTTCATATAACTCGGGAGAAAACCCGAAAATTCCCCAGAATCTTCCCAAAATCTGGAGATCATAGAGCTAAAATAACTAGCGAAACCAGTGTAATTTTATTATAGGTTATATTAATGAACATTATTTATGGCTCTTGCCAATAGATAAAAAATTATAGCACTTTTGTGATGCCATTTATCAACTACCCTTCTATTTGTTGCATTTTAAAAAATTATTGTAGTCAGTCAGTTATCTATAACAAAGGACCAGGCATCTATATGCATCCGTCCAAATTGCCATGCCTCATTAGCACAACACTGGATTCATAGGAGAAGTTAATTCAGTGGTAATAAAAAGAGGTTTCATATAAGGATATAATAAAGTGAGAAAGAATTATTTCGTAGAAAGAGAGGTATAAGGTGTTTTACTCTCACGATTTAGAGGACGACAAAGAGTTTATACACCTACGCCACTGTGATCGATTCTGAGCCATGTCAACCAGTCTCCAACCATTGGTTACGATAATCACACGGACCCCAACCAAGTAGTCTGTATCTACCAACATGGTTCAGACTAGAAGTTAGTGACTTCAAGCACTGATGCCACGTTTTGATTTAGCCGCCCCTAACTTCCAGCCGTCTCCAACACTAGTCAGCATTTCATGCCTTGTAAAATGAGGTAAACTAATACTGTCGCACAGTTAGCCTTCTTAATATTCGAGTTCTACTTACGACTCTTTTTTCTTTATTCTCAAATGTCGTGGTATGCAGGGTCATCATAGAATCGCTTGAAGGTCATTCATAAATTATAGTTCATAAGTGTTAATAAAGACCTAATACAAAACATCTTACATTCGGTGGTTACTAAGTGCCTCGTCAGAAACATCAAAATATTTTTAAACTTTAAAGAAGTAGAAAACGATGAGTATTTCCAGCACTTTTAAGTAAGATGCACTCGAAGTCTATGGTTTAATTTGATGTATAAACTACTTAATGTGATACTGTGTTATACAATCGACTATTGTATAGTATGACTAAATTCCAAGTAATTTGTGCCTCACACTGCTCTATAGCCTTTACACCGCAGATTTTACAGTAAAATAATCAAGTGATAAGTTTCCGTGTTGGATGTCATTTGAATAGTCACTTGACCTTATTATCCTACTTTATAGTTGTTCGTGCAACTAGTCATCGAATCCCGACTTAATAGATTTCAAGAGATAAAACCACAATTAAACCATTTAACCGAGATTAATCTGTTGATACAAAACATCCAGTCAAGATATTTGGATTATCAACTACCAAATGGTGGTAAAGAATTCATTGTTATTCACATTGAACTCCAGAAGTTTTAGCAAAATCCAATTTTAAATTATTTAGACCAGTACATAATAAAATTCAAATCTAAGATGAGGGTCTGGTTCTATTCATAGCCCATCAGTTGAGTATGCATGGACCATAGCCTGGTATTGTTCTCACAGTAACTAGAATAGATTGCGATATTCCAATACCGGTATCGTTATCTGATTAGTTGACTATCCATAATTGCTTTCGATTTGAATTTGTTTGATGCAAGTCTTTAAAGGCTAAACTGATGGGTTCTCGTTGCATAAATGTTCATATTGCTTTTAATGATAACTTGGTTGTATTTTATGTCAATTATGTTTGACATTCGATTCCCCCCTGTTTTACGTGATTACCCATTTAATATTTTTTCTTTTGCTGACTATATCGTCCGTTTTTGTTACGAAGTTTTAGCTTTACCTCAATCAATGAGTGAATATATTCGAAGTCCTCTGATAAGATTAATGTATGAAAAGTTGGATCATCAAAATAAACATTCGAACTCAAATCATGACCATGTAGTTATGTTCAATTATTTTCATAATATACTTTTTATGATATTTTCAATCTTATCAATGTAGTGGTATGATTATCGCGCTGAATATGTAGATTTTGAACTTCGGGATAAGTTTATTAAATCAAAACAAGATGAAGAAACTTGCGAATTTTTAAACAATTGCTATGTCAAATCTGACTGGTTATTTACACACTTTTACCATGCTATTGCTAAAGCTGTTTTAACTTGGTTCATGACTTCAACTTCTATAAATGGGTAATTGATTTTGGCCCTTTGCTCTTACCTATATTTTTTATTTTACATAAAAAATATGAAAAATCCACTTGTAAAGGTATTTTATGCAAATATGTAATCAGATTCTACAATTAAAATTGACATTATAATGCGATCTCCATCATGAACTGACATCACGCAGTAAGCTATTACTAGCCGAAAATGGCACAAGCACCCATAACTTTATAGTTTGGGGCTTAATATTGTGGTTTCACTACCACGTATACAAAGTAATTCGAATATTATTCGGAATTATCCAGTTGATATTTATAAAATTAATTATTACTAGTTAACTAAATTGAAGTTCAAACATATGAGTTGTGGTACGATGGTAATGGTCGTAATAATAATGATCGTCGTTCAAGAATCGTGCAGATTATTATTACTATAACCAGATGGTGAGTGAAAATACTAGGACCATAAAAAGACTGAATAAATAGTTTTTGTGCAGTTAAATTCTGTCTGTGAATCGAGTGATCAAAAAATTGCACGCCTAAAACTAATTTTAAGAGCTGAAATTCTATCAACTTGGTATTTTGTGTAGAATGTATTAGATAACACTGAGTTTTCTATAAGTTGACTGCTAAATTTCACTTACATATGCCTGTATTAAATAATTCAAAATATCATAACGCGACCACCAGAAATGCTTCAGTTTATCATTTCTACTCGTGACATCCTATGAGTAGTGATTGGTTTTAAAATCCTACATTTATTTCAGTATTATCGGCGTTTTATTATTCACATTTGGAAACCCTATCATCTTCAATTGAAAAGCTATGCTGTTTTTATTGATTGTGATATCCTTCAAGTATCGGACAGAAATAATGTAAATCTCTTTATTCTTATTTAACTTCGGTACCTGTAGTCAATCAGTGTTCCAAACTATCTAAACAGTTGTAATATGCTTCGATATTAATTTGGATTTTCCTAGCATTCATTTATCTTTATCTTGTCCTTCTCATCAATAGCTTTAATAGCAGCTTTGTTTACAGTTATTGTGAAATCGCGAATCGCTAACTGCTTTGTGATGATTGGGTTTATCTATTATTAGGTTGAACCAGTTTAGAATATTAACATTTTGAATTTGTATGCTATCAGGATTAGTCAATGAAATGTTTTTTGGATAAAAAAAGTAATTATTGTATTGTGAGAAATATCTTTCTAATCAACATCGAATGATAAAATACTAGTATGGTTGTATTGTATTTTTAGTGCTCTAAAGTACTAATGAAAGATAATTTCATTACTCGCCACATAATTTTGGAGGCATTCACCGGTATAACGCTTCGAGAATCGTATCTGTAATTATATTTACCATAAAACGACTTGTGTCAATTCGGAACATATATTTATTAATCAAAGAAGTAGGACTTCAGAATTCCAATTTTTGATTCATTGGGAGATTACAGTTTCTTCATTCCTTCATTATACATAGTTGCTATCATTTTCATTCTTAATACAAATTACGTTGTTCTGGCTAGTTTTCGAAATCCTGAGTATATTGAAAACATATTAATCAGTTTATTAGTCTTTTTGATACTGGAGAGGCTTTTAATAATTTGGTCAGCGAATTTGCGATCGTTAGAATGAACAAAAAGGATTCTGGTCAACAAGTGATACACAAGGTTAAGATGTGGTTGTGATAGCCGCTCACTAGGCTGTTTTGATGCAAGCCCCCGAAAAATTGAGAATAAAAAACAAAACCACTACCCAGAAAAAATAAATTTTATGTAACAGAATGCAGTACTTGTAAGAAAATTATTACGGCGAAAAATAACATGGTAAAATCTTATAAGGGGCTGAAGAAAATAAGCTTGTAGGTTATCCACTTTTCAACCAATTAAGACTTCATTGTTGGACCTAATTCTTGTGCATCGTTTTACTCTTGTTAGTCGGTTTGTTTTCTCTTATTTCGCACCAAATATCTATCCGTAAACCTGCACGTTTAAACCGTTTTTTAATTCTGTCCATTTTTGTATTTTTCAAGTTTAGTTGGTCGTGGTTCTATGTTTGTTTTCTCATCAGCACAATTTCTTCGCTTACTTGATGTTAACGATAGCTTCAAGTCGAATTCTTTACTCGACTTAGGTAGGTAGATAATTGATTGATATGTATATATAAAACTGAGGGCTGGTTTGCATCATGCTGACAAGTCTACATTGTGTACCTGTATGTTGTAACGAAAATCCTAGCATAAGTACCTGTAAAGTATAAATTATCCGTATACTTACAAAGTGCATAAAATGGATCCATAGGAAAAAAAGATCATTTTAACAAAGGACATAGTTGGACAGGAAATTTTAACATATGAAAACACCTCTAATATAATAATCCCATTAAGCCAGTTAGATGAAGATATGTCTTCACTATGGAATTGCAAAGTACTTCACAACCTTACTGCAAAAAGGCGATAATTTTAAAATTCTCTCTTGTTTTAAATTTATGTTCATGATATTGTCCAAAATTCTAACGAAAGTTTTGGCATCAAACCTTGCTTGAAGAACATAAACCGATTAAACATATTCATTTGAGCTAAAAAAAATACTACAGTCATTAAATAAAGCAGTTAATTGAACCAAAGAGTTAATTACTTCCGTTTTAATTTAACATCAATCCCCACTTATGAATTAAGTATTCTTCCCAAATATTGTGACTCATTGCATTTATTGGAAACTATAATAACAAAAAAATAGATGAAAATGATAGCATTTCTGATATATATATATATATATATATGTGCTCGTTAATATTCCTGTCAGGTGGCGACTGAATTACCAAATCACTCGATTTTCAACCAATAGATCGTGAAGTCGAACGTTACTTCATCTACTTCAGTTTGAACAGCTGGATAATATTGCTTGCCCTCAAATATGCGATCTAGTTGAAAGCTACGTATATGAACTTGTAAATATTAAGTTAGCCACATAAAATTAATATAAAATCAAATATTTCTCCCATTGACTTAAAAGAATTCTATGTGATGATTGATTTTGTTTCCCAATAATTCCCAACGTTTAAGTTATTTGTGATCAGGATAGTTAAGATGATACTAGGTGAGTACTTTAAATATCGATATTTCTTACTCTGGGTAGTCAGTGTAAAATCGTAATAATTTTCTTAGCAAATGCCATAATAGAAAATAGTGTAACTTATTTCGTTTCATGTGTTAATAAACGTTGTGGTAAAAGAAAACGAGTTGAAGTATTTTATCATAAATTATTTTTGCACATATGGGTAGTACACATCCACCTCAATATTAGTCTCTTAATTGTCAACGTCGGTGAGATCAGTTTCGCTCTATACTTGTGAAACCTGGCCTCTCCGAGTTGAGGATGTTAGACGACTCTATTTGGTCATCGTTGTCTCTGAAGGATTTCTGACATCCAGTGGCAACACCCTGTTAGCAATGCAGAGATTTGGCTTCGTGTGTTCGGGCACAGTGACGACAATTCAATTAGTATCACTATCTTTAAACATCAACTTCGGTGGCTTGAACATGTTCTACGAATGTCGTCCCAGAGAATTCCACGTCGTGTATTATTTGCTGACGCTGGAAATGGTTGGAAAAAACAGAGAGGTGGTCAGTGTATGACATGGTGTCGTAGTATGATAGAAAACTATACAGGACTGGTTTCCGCTGGTCTTTCACGACCCCTTGGTTGGGGTTCTAGAGATGGTGCAACACAATGGCCAGATAAATGAAAAATGACCACCCAAGGTATATGTTGACTAACTGATGATGTGATTTTCTTGTAGCACCTTCAAGCACAATAGGGATTGCTTTAGCTTAAACTATTAAGTTGGCACCTGGTGTTCACCTATCGAACCTCAGTTGATTCACTATATTATGCTTCTATCATCTACTGTTATCGGTGAAAACCATCTCACTTCATAACATAGTTGCAATCTGCTGATCACGTCTTTGACAACTACTATTTATAATAATAATAAAAATAAAAATTATTATCCGTTACAGCAGTATTTCTTTACATGAATAAGACGAGATTTTCCTTATTTTGAATCATGAATTGACGTCAGCAGATAACCACAACCAGTTAAAGAATTTAACCCGATACCCTCAGTTATTTCGGTGAGTGGAACTATTAAGCTATTGAATCGAAGACAACTATTTATTGATAAAAGAAACATAAAAAAGTTTGTGGAATGGTTTACAAATTGTACTATCAATATTTCAATATTAAAAAGTAATTCATGATTGTGATAGACGTTTTTTTTAAATACAGGTGCCGGGGACGGCAATGTGACATTGAAAATGGCTCCTTACTTTAAAGATGTATTCGTCACAGAAATTTCTCCAGTTATGCGTTGGCGTTTAAGTAAACATGGCTTTACGTAAGTTGACTGATTATATTTTATCATTTTTAGGTAATGATTTCAAATGATCTTTGACTAAACGATTATGAGAATCTTTTGAACCAACAGTATTCCACTTAATTTTGGTTGTAACATGAACTTTATTCTAATCAAAATAAATTTGATACATTATGAAGATTTACTTCAATTTATTTAATCCCTTGTATTGCTTTGTTTTGTTAACAGAATATTAGACGTTGATTCTTGGGAATTAATGAGTAAAGAATTTAATACACCCAAAGTTCCATCTCACTTTGATGTTATTAGTTGTTTAAATTTATTAGATCGTTGTACAGCTCCAATTACCTTATTGAAACGAATTAGTCAAGCTTTGAAACCTACGACGGGAATTTTAATTCTTGGAATAGTTTTACCATTGAAACAATATGTTGAAAGTGAGTTTGTAATTTTGGTTGACATTAAATTCTTCTCTTAATTTCATAACAGATTAAGCTGACCTATTGTCCTACCTCATTATAATGAGTTATTTTCATCAACAATTTATTTTGACGCTAACACTTACGTTTAGCTTTATAGAAATCAGTCTCTAGTACATTGATCTGGTCGACATTCAAAATAGAGGTGGCATGTATTTATTACATAAAAACTGAAATCTTTAGGGTCCTTCAAACGATTCAGGTAAAAAAAGAAAACTATAAAATGTTTGAAATTTTCCAACCTTCAAATTATCTGACATTATTTCAAAACTCATGTACAAAGATCCCAAATTTTAGGATTAATAAGTATTTTAGTGGAGTATGTCGAATTGTTCAGTAACATAAATAAGTTTATTGCAAATAGAACCCTGATGGTGGCTACTAGGGATTTCCAAATTTATGTCACTGGTGACTCGTAAAATATCGGTTTTGTTTAATCAGTTTAAAACTCAGTCAAGAAGTACGTTCGACTCTGTTTTACGGCTAAAACAGATAGATATAAGTATAAAACCTTACAAAATGAATTTAGTTTGTGGTATCACAATTTACAGTAGTGTGCTAAACAAAAACCAACGAGATGCAAAACTTTTGAAATAAAATTAAAATAGATAATATCTTAGTTTATTTTCGTGATCGGCCAACAGTATTTTCTAATTACGAATGTTCGGAATTTTCCTAATACTAATTGTATCTAATGCGAACTCGATAGACCGGCGTCTGACCTACAACACTTCGAAAATTATCATCAACTCCATGGAACGAAGAAAGGATACAGGTACTTATAAAAAGCTTGATTTTCAAGAAATTAAATTTGATATAGAACGGCTCCGTATAAATTATAACTAACCATGATCTTGAAACAGTAATATTAGCAAATTAAATGGAAAAATAGCCGATCAAATGTCAGTAAAGATCATTGCGGAATATCAATTTAAAAAATATTATCACGGTTATCCTTGCACATAAAGCCATCGTTCACTAATAAAAATAATATAATCTGAGACAATCCCAGTAAACTTGTAAATTATTTAATTTTTAAAAATGATACTATTGATTGCAATTAATTCAATCTGGTCTGTTTTAGACTGCATCATCTAGTCTATCTAGCGACAAGTATTTTCCATTATCCTGTAGATTTCATCCCAAAAATCCATGCCTCTCTACGTATCTTAATCAGAGTGATAGTAAATACATCAGCTTTTATAATGTCTTGGTTAAACTACACTTAAATTTCTAATACCTCATCCTTCTTCAATCAGTATTACACGTCTTGATGAACGAAAAGTTACCATACTTAATACTTGACCGGGGAAATTCAATCGGTGTAAGTTCATGACCACAATAACTGAACCATTGTTCTTGTCTAGAGAGATTGTGTTATTCAGAATTATTCCTACTACAAGGAGTCTTCTTCTGTGATTTCGACTAATCTGCGGGAATCACTTTCATTTCTCATAGTCTGATTAGACTGAATTCGGAGTTGCTTATCATCGAATCCCGTCTCAGTAATCTCGTTTAGTCAGTCACATGCAACGTAGAACCTGGTACATGTGTACATCGGTTCAGGTCTACATTATCCCATTGATGAAGAGGGAAGAAACAGTCAGGGTGAATCTCAGAGTAGTAGAGCTAGGAACAACAATAATGGTAATAGAAAAAAATTAAACATCCATGATACAGTTCGCAAAGGAAATATGAATTGGTGCGGCAATCACAAAGTTATGAGGAATTTAAAAACTTAGAATCTAAGTAAGGACAAAGAGTGAGTGCACCTAGGCCATTGGGAAAGATTTCAAACTATATCGTTCAAAATCCCTAACCATTGATTACGATAATCTAAAAGTATTGTTTTCATCCCTAGACCTGAAAACCCTGGTTTTGATTCCGTTGATTTATTGATGGCTGTATGTAGAAAGCGATAGGAAGAGATGCATTCCAAACATGTTTGTATCGTTTCCCAGTGTGATTAGAGGACTTCATTTTGTTAGTTTTCGCCAAACCAAACAATGTCATCTGCTTATTTAGAGTCAACAAATTAATCCATTTTATTGAAATCATGAACCGCTCAATGTAAGACCAGCATTCAAAACCTGGAAGCGCTGGATGCTGACTCAGGGATTTGGAGGTTAGGCGTTTTCGTGTCAGACCAAAGGTCCTGGGTTCGAATCCTGCGTTCGGGAGGAGTTCCATACTAGAACGAAACGGTCATTCCATGGTAGTCTAACATTGGTTGGTTCATGATTTCAATAAAATTCAACAGTCTCCACAACCCCCAAACTGAAAATTAATCTATTGGTAGAAGATTGATCTGTGATAAGTTAAAAGAAAAGCATTATGTCTAAAAGAATGTTTACGATGAAGATAGATAGAATTGTGGAAATTGGCCAAGCCTAATACATGTCACTTGAGGTCAACGGTTTCAAAGTCAGTTACCCATAATCTCTGAATTGACTAGAAGTATATTTGTCATAACTTGTTGTTTTGTACCCTTGGTTCTTTGTTTTTCACCCCGTCGCCAATTGTTATAACGCTCAGTTTTACTTCATCTAATGTTATAACGGTTGGTTTACCGCGTTTACACGTATGGGACGTAAATTTACCTTAGAAGAATATCTACACTAGATTCCCTCTCAGTGTATATTCTACGAGGCTTCAACATAACTCAGATCAAGAATATATGATTAACCTGACCACAACGTAAATATATTTCCACTCAAAAAACCCGACACAATCCAATAACAATAAACAATCAATAATAATACTTATAAGGATAGGGGAATATATAACCCATCTGACACCTGTCAGACTATCTACATGCCTGACTAAGCAGACAACTAATCATTATCACTCTCGCCCTTACATCAATATTATACAAAAAAATACTGATTTATCTTGTTCACTTATTGATGGTAAGGCTTATTTCCTCTCACTTATTCATTATTTTGTAAATAAACTTAAGTTTTTAAAATAAATACTTTTTTCCTCATTTATATTCAATGTTTTTTTTTGTTTAAACAAAAAATATGTAAAATCACTTTTTTAAAGCGACTCATGATCAACGTCCTATTGAAGTACTTGAAATAATTGATAGTGAATTATGGGAAATACAATTATCTAGTTTAATTAATAATATTCTTATACCAGCTAATTATCATGTTTTACGTTGGACACGTTTACCATATTTATGTGAAGGTGATTTTTCTAAATCATTCTATTATTTAAATGAAATTATACTTGTTTTACAATATTCAATATCTAATAATACAAATAAATAAAAGGGTTGATGGTTTCATAATCTTTTTATTATTATATTAAAATGAAATTTTTCTAGTTTGCTTGTGTATTACTTATGGTTTATTGATTGATTGATTTTTCAACCGATTCTTTTATTGATAATTTTATCAATGTACTGATTATTTGTTAATTTTTATTGTTGATGAAAATTTCAAATGTACATGATTACCATTATTATTGGTGTTTTGCAAGTACTTTCATTATTTATTTTGAAATAAATACTTTTAATTTCAATACAATCAAGGAGTTTATTGTCTTTTTAATTACTATTCGTTTCTTTTGAATTATTGAATAGTAACTACTGTTACTAATTATTATTATTATAATTATTATTATTATCTGATCACATAAACTATGAAGTAGCCTCTAAATGCCCTGGTACAGCTGAGAATGCGTATACAGCCACTGTCAGGGAAGTCTTACTCACTGCCTTCGACTGACAAGGGTGTTGTTCACCGTATTGAGAGGACGAAAACCGGATGTCCAACGCTTTAACCGAGTTGGTGGATACAGAGGATCTATTTAGAGGATGTTGGAAAACCCTGATTTCAAACCAATGGCGTATATGGGCTCCAGTATTCTGAAGGATCAAATGGCCTATGAACCTCTTGATGGTCACCGGTTATTATGAGACTGCATCTTGTGATGTTTCTCCACTGCCTTATGGATCAGACCTTTAGGTCGAAGGTTCCGGGTGTGGCTCCCTAAGAAAACCACTCGCTTCGGTTTGGGCACCTGGGCAGTATCACAGCCCACACACAAATCAAGTGACTTGTGTGATGCATATGTATTTGGTGCCTCCTTGTACGAATGTTTGTGTGTTTAAATAATTATGATGTACAATGAATTTATATGCTATTAGTACTATCAAGAGTTAGTTTTCAACCATATAATTTATGAAATGGTTGATTTAAATGTTTACCGGATAGTGATTGGTTTACTTAAAGTGATTATTTTAGGTTGTATTGAAGCTGTTTGGGTAGGATATTGTCAATGTCTAATTTATAATTCGTGTTACCACTTCATTTGAATGATACTACTTGTTAGTTTATTAGATCAATGAACATCAGCTACTTGTCCGTTTTAACTATTATAATTTTGGGTTCCTTAAAAATCTTTATAAGCAATTATATCTTTGTTCTCTCATATTCTGCTGCTTAGTAAGAAACGAGATAATAGTCGTGTTTTTCAAAATAACTTGTTACTGAAACATGAAGTGATTTCACTACATAAGATACTAATTATTTGTGTTGATGACAAGGCATACTGTCGTGGTTTCTTGTGGAATATATTTCCGTCTTACCAAGTTGGAGTTCTCTCACTAGTTAGCTGGGCTGGGACGCGTCAGAATATCTAGCTTACCAGTCATTGTGTCACTGAGTCTTCGTTCCGTTCTCAGATGAGGTGAACTCGTAATCTCTTCAAACATAGCACACACAACCGATTGATATTATGCGTCGTTTGACAAAGGTATGTTTTTATTGGTAACAGAATTTTACTACAATCAATTGCTATTAAGGACAACATAATTATTTAACTGACGCTACCGTTTCTGTATTGATACTTAATCTGTTCATGTATGCTAATAATACCCCTAGCAATTATCGCTAATAGCTATGATTTCATTAAAAATGGAATAGCATTTAATGAGAATAAGACAACGATACTTAATGTGTGCTACATCTAACGAATCGATCAAACCTCAGTAAATAAGCTTCACGCTGTTGTCTACTCAAATACGAAATTTCGTTGAAAGTAATGCACATTTTATTATTGATTAGGATAAATAACATAGAACTCATAAGTTTGGATAAGTTCATATTACTATATCAGCTTCGTAAATTGACAGCATAGAGAAGAAGAATTAAAACAAGATAATGGCATTTAAAGTTATGTGAAGCTAATAGAACCGAGGAATAATGTGTCCTATTCGCTTAAAGTGTATATTCTTCATTATTACTAAAATTAGTCGTCATATTCTTCTATTATGAAGTAAATTGTACCCAAAAGCTTTGTGGAGTACTAACCAGACAACCAGTGTGATAGAAAAGCTAGCAAAACAATGTGCTACGGATATGAAATTAGAGTAAAACAGTGTTCATATGGGCTTATATTGTAGAATAGTGAAGAAGTTCTATGGCTTATTGTACAATATACAACTGATGAAATGTAATAATCAGATACGTGAAACTTTCCTCATTCATGCCGATTGTCCCATAACCAACATAATAACCAAAGATCTGCTGGACATTTTAGCACCAAAATGCAGTCTCGAATTTCTCACAAAATCTGAAATGAAGTTTACACTGCCTTGTTATGATTCACTTAATTATTATCCCATACATGATTTTATGTACTAGTGTCTTTGTATATTAATATGATTTATATCCACAGGTTTGACTTTATTTTTGAAATTCACTGAACGAGACTGCAATAACTAATTTTTTGGACTCGTATACCTTGATATCCTCAATATCGCTTTATCTCCTAGCTTCGGCCACTCCCAAAAACAATCATCAAAAGAAGATTGATTGATAAAATTTAGAAAAAATTGTTTCAAGCAAATAGCACACCAGAATACGTATGTAAAGTATTTGGAAATAGAGTGAACATTTTAGCACACTGAAAGTCATCGACCATTGGGAAAATGGTTTTAATAGTGTACAAACAGAAATGGCATGAAGAAATTGGTCAGATTTCAAATTAAAAAACCAGAAAATAAACACGTTTCTGAGTACTAAACATTTTGAAACTAGCTGATAGGCAAATCACCCTACAGTCTACTAATTATGTAAATGAATCCTAACCATATTCATCAAGTTGGTTTCTTATTTAAATCTCATTTGAACCATTGTTTTCTCTTTTGTTCGTCGTGCTACTAACTGTTATTAGGTAGTATGAGTAACCGCTTGCAAAATAGTGTCGCCACTCTGATTTCTGTTTTATTCAACTGGTTCAAAATTTACTGACTGTTTATATGCAACTCTTTGTTTGTTCACGATCCTAATCAAGTATTTATATTATTTGATCGATACGTCTGGTTTCGAGATAGTCCAGATTACGATTTTGTTAACTGTTATTTAATACACTAGAGCAGGTTGTATATATATTCAATATATTTTTGGTACAATATAGAATTCTCAGCGCAAATTTTTTCAAAAGATCTCTTTTCTTTCATTTTTATGTATATTGCCAGCAACCACAATATCTCTGATTGTGCTCTTCCCTAACTTGTACAGCGAAAGGTCGTGTGCTTTTCACAAACGCACCTGAATAGGTTGTACAAAAATAATTGACGTAATGACATTTAAACAAACAAAAGACAGATAACTTGTTGAAATATCTAGATGGCAGGAACAGGTAACCCAGATATTTAAGCAGGCCGCCGTTATGCAGCAAAACTACTTAAAGTTTTTTTTGTTTAATTATATTTTTGATAACATAACTCATGTTTCCGTAACAACACGGCTTCTAAACAAACTTCTTTTTAAGTTTCAAAGTTTTAGAGCGTAAGTCAATCTCTATGTTAGTCTACTGACACACCAACGATAGTATTTATTTTGTGTTAATAGTTTACTTATGAGCAATTCATTTAGGACTAGCAAATCAGTAATTAGTTATTTCAATTCAAATATACATCCTAGCGAATCTTAATTACTTATCACTCAGTGAAAAATAATCAGAAAATCATCCTTATAGATTCGAAACACGATGAAGCAAATTAAATGTACACTGATAAGGGCGTACGCAAAATCATGAGCATTGATAAACAAGGAAAGCAAAAACGGTGGTACACAACAAAATGGTAGATAACTCTAGGCAGTTATTCAGACTCATCAAAGATACAGTTATTCAAAGTAAGCTGTTAGTAAGACTGTTTAGATGCGGAACGGAACTTTGATTGACATTATCATCAGAACTGGCAGATATAACAAGTAAATTTTGGGAACTGGAAAAAATCTTAACTGTTCAGCCTCGACTACTGATCATCTCTGTCTCTGAAGAAAGGAAAGAAACCCTCGTTATAAACACATTGTAGTAAGTTTGAGCAATGCATCCATGTAGTCAAGTTTTTAAAGTATTGTATCTTCTATTCAGTGTTAACCATAATTTGATAATAGTTAAATTTTAAGAAGAGTAACATATGAAATTTGAATTAGGAAAACTTGAGAAAAACTATTGATTCCAGTAATATATTCTGTACTGACTAGGAAGAGAGTCTAATAACACACATTACACTTTTTCTGTGCCTCGCCTAACTGCTTTTATTTGTATCTCGGTGTTGATATTCTGACTGCGATACTAAACCATTGCCTATCATTTCAAATACCTGGATGTTATTCACTCGGTTGTTTAGTAACGAGTCACTAATTTATTTAATAAACATAACAATCTCAGCGAGAATATCAACAGTAAAATACTTGTACTGAAATTTAGCTGAGAAATTTCATAGGTTGAAATGAGCCCTGGATTCTGTTAATGATCGATTTGTCCTATTATTAACATGTATGTTTATGCAGGGTTCCAACATCTGTAAACCAAAGTGACTTATCATCTCTGTCCTAAATATCAGAAAATAAGAAGTACAAACCTTTATAGTCGATAGCCATTTCATGTTTATAAATAATTTGCACTGTAACTCATTGCCATAATTTATGTGTTTATTAGTGATGATACTACATGGCTATTCAATATTCAAACTCACCAATTTATTTTAGAGTTAAATAACTTCATTTATCTCCAAATTTATGTTGACATTGTGTTATGATTCATTTTTGAATCGAGTTATACCATGAATGTTACATTCTCAGGCTAAGAAGTTAAACAAGATATTTATACACATTCACCAGTGTAAAATTGAACTTTAGTTTTGCAAAAAATTCTTAATTCAAATTAGACATCACTAAATTATCGATCAATAGATTTTAATATTTATTATTGATTCAGTGTACTTTACATAGATTTGTTGTTCAGTCTAACC